ATTCAAAACAAAACAAAAATCTGAGAAAGAACTGATTCTTAAATCTGTGAGTACTTAATAGATACACTTGGGGAGTTTGGGGAAAGTGGGTATTATCGCTATTGTCAAGACTGTAAACATTCAATACTTTACAGTCCTCCCTCTCCTTTATTATTATCTTTTTTTAACTTGCTTTTTTTTTTTTTTAAGAGCCTGGAGTTTGAGTAGATGAAGAGAAAAATCACAAGATAGTTCATTGGTTCTGTTTGGTTGAGCATAAAACCATGTTTTTTTGTTTGTTTTTTTTTTTTTTTTTTGAGGTTGTCAGACAAGACACACACGCTTATTTATTTATTTATTGCCCTTCCTGGTACTTAAATCATCAAAGCATCTGCCAGTGGTAATTAGGAGGACTCATTGCACATCTGGAAAGTGATTTGGGACAATGTAAAGGCAGCTGTGCCACCGCTCTAAATTATTACCCGCTGAGTGCAGCATGAAGAGTGGCCCAGGTACATACTGAAGGTGTGAAATATTGGTTCACCATGGTGTGATGTGAGTTTTGAATGGCCACCTTTTCTCCTCATGAACAGATACATTTTTCAGGCCCCCACATTATTACCGGGGGGGGGGGGGGGGAATTTTGAGTGATTTGAAGTGGAGAAGAGAATGAAGTGCACCAGTAGGCAAGGTAGAATGAATGAGCAGTAGATTGGCAACTTTATAACTGAAGAGGAGGCTTTGGTGGTGTTCCTTTGAAAACATGAGGAAAGAAAGGGAAAACTAGTTTTGAACATTCTGTAATATCTTTGATTTCAGCTGGCTGCCCATGGCTCATTTCTGTAGTCCTAGCTACTCCAGAGTCTGAGATCTGAGGATTGCAGTGATAGAAGTTTGAAGCCAGCCAGAGGAAGACAAACATGAGAGACACTTATCTCCAATAAACCACCAAAATGCCAGAAGTGGAGCTATGGCTCAAATGATAAAATATCAGCCTTGAAAATGTTAAGGGATAGCACTCAGGCCCTGAGTTCAAGGCCCACTACCAGTCCCCCCCCCCCCCCCCCCCCCCCGCAAAAAAAAAAACTCCTCACTTGATTTCAGTGTTTTGTACTGGATTTGTTTAGGCCGTCACATCTGGTCATGAGGTGCATAAATGGGAAAGCTGGTCCTTTTGGGAAGGAGTCAGGGTTCCAGCCGAGGAATCTCACATGGACCGTACCGTCTGCCTGTATGTAGGAGAGGGAGGGCTTGATTTCCACTCCAGGACCACCAGCAGCAAGAAGCATGGGGGAGACGACCCCTTCAACAAGCTCATTTGTATTTGATCTAAGATGGTAGGTTTGTTTCCCTGATGAATAGAGGCGGAAGTTTCTGGGTGGGGATGGCCAAGTCAGCTCCGAAGAGCCTAGAATAGGGCCCCAGTTGTGGGGACCCAGGGATGCGATGCACAAGACCAGGCTAGGTGCGGTGATTCCCAGGACTGCTCCCTAGCCCCCCAAAACACAATACTGACGGGCCTCCGTCTTCCAAAGCGTGTGGTAAGAAAACCCGAGATGCCCCAGTGGGCCTGGCCAATGAGAGCTGTTTCTTTGTCTGAACAGACTTCTCTCCGTGGTGGAGGCTGATGCTCTGCTGTCTGAGCTTCACTTCCTCCTGCCATATCACTTCCCAGGATTCGCCCCAGCACAGTTAGGGACTCTTGGCTTCCAGGGCTGGTACTTTGCTCTGCTAGTCACAGCTGTCAGCAATGGTTTGAACAGATAACCCCCTAAGAGCGGATCATCTGCCCTCCTTTCTCAGGTGTGCCCTGGGCGCTGCCTGCCCTTCTGGATGTGGGCGGGGCTGTTGGTCTCCTTGGTGCCTCCTCCACAGTCTGCCATCCGTCTCTGTGGTCCTGCCTATTCCAAGGCCTTAGTTCACTTTTTGTTTTTTTTTGGTGGGGCTTAAACTCAGGGCCTCATGCTGCCAGCACAGCTTTACGTCTAGCTTTTTGCTGTTTAGTTGGAGATAAGTCTCAAGGATTTTTTTCTGCCTGTACTGCTTGGAAGCAGGATCCTCAGACCTTCATCTCCAGTAGCTAGGATTGTAGGTATAAGCCACCGGCCCCCAGCTCTCAGTCCCTTTCTTTCTTCCTTTCTTTTTTGGTCAATTTTGGTGCTTGAACTCAGCCTGGCCACTATCTCGGAGCTTTTTGTGCTCAAGGTTAGTGCTCTCTCAATTTGCACCACAGAGCCATTTCTGGTTTTCTGGCGATTCATTGGAGAGAAGAGTCTCAGAGACTTTTCTGCTTGGGCTGGCTTCAAACCTCAATCCGCAGATTGCAGCCTCCTGAGATGACAGGTGTGAGCCACCAGCACCTGGCTTCAGTTCCTTTTCTGATGGTGCCCGGGCTGCGATCAGAGTCAAAGGGGACTAAAAGCCAGGCTGGTCCATTTGGGGCTTATTTTGTGTAGGGTAGGTGATATTGGGGGGGGCATGGATGACAGTTCAGGGAGACCTGATTGGATATGTTTAGCCAGCAAGGTGTTGGGGGTGGTGGCATCCGGGGCAGATTGGGCAGAGATGGGCACACACCAGTTGGGAGGTCAGAGGTGTTTGTGTGATGGTGGCCCTTGAGCACCTGCGGTCCTAACTTGATTATCATGCTGTATCCCTGGAACTCTCTGGTCCGCTCCACCTCTCTCAAGAGCTTCTGTTCCTTCTCTGGGGCAGTAGGAGAAGAGCTGGCTGGCAGGTTGGCTGCTCGTGTCCTCAAGAGTCTGAAGCTGACTCTCAGTTTGCCCCTTGTGAATCCCCACTGGGAACTTGGCAGGAAACATCTGGAAGGCCAGGGCGGGCTAAGCGCCTCTGCAGTGTCAGGTCTGTCTCCTTGGAGAGAGAGAGACAAGGAGACTTGCCCAGACCCGTTCAGAGAGTTCCCAGCTTTGGGAGTGCTTCCTTTCCCAGCTTGGGAGGAAGGCCTCTGGGGCACTTCCTTCAAAGGCAATAGCTGGGGAAAAGGAAGAAGAATTTCAGTTTCTGCTTCTCTTCTCTCTCAGTTTCCCCAGTCAGGGAAATGCTGATGTCTTGAGCAGGACTGAGGTTTTAGTTTCTTTTCTTTTCTTTTCTTTTTTTTTGTCGGTCCTGGGGCTTGAACTCTGGGCCTGGGCGCTGTTCCTCAGCTCTTCAGCTCAAGGCGAGCGCTCTACCACTTGAGCTACAGCGCCACTTCCAGTTTTCTGGTGATTTATTGGAGATATGAGTTTCATGGACTTTACTGCCTGGGCTGGCTTTGAACCGTGATCCTCAGATCTCAGCTCTTGAGTAGCTAGGATTAGAGACGTGAGCCACCGGCACCCGGCAGATTTTAGTTTCTGTTTTTGTTTTTTCTCAAATTTAGCAGAAAGGCTTCTAGAGAAATCTTCACTGTCAGCTCCACTTGCATCCAAGCCTGCTTTGCCATGTTAGATGTCATGGGCAGGTGACCCCTGAAGGGGTGCTGATTTAGAACATGTAGATGCCGCCTTTTTGTATGTCTGTATGCCATTGCTGGGGCATGAACGCGGGCCTCCCACTCTATCTTGCATTTTCAGCTAAAAGCCGGTGCACCACAGCTCCACTTGTGGCTTTTGCTGAGTAGTTGGAGATCAGAGTCTCTCATATGTCTCAGCTGGCTTTGGACCATGATCTTCAGATCTCAGCCTCCTGAGTTGCTGGGATTACAGGCATGAGCCCCAGTGTCTGGCTCGTATATAACTTGTAGATTGTCTGAAAGTTGCATCATCCCCCCCCCCCCCCCCCCAATTGTCTTGGTAAAGTCACTTTTTTACACCACAGGTTTGAAGGTAAAGGGGGCAGAAGAGAGCGGGTGTCTGGACAGAAGTGACAGAACACAGGTGCACACATTTCTGTCAGCCTCTGTGTGTTCAGACACAGACTGAGGATATAAATCCTTGTCATCTCGGGGAGACGATGGTACGAACGCAGTCTTGTAGTGAACGCTGTGGGCTAAATAAAGTTGCAGGCGTGTGGTGCGCCAGGCTGCCCCTGTGATTGTGTCGGTGCTCAGGGCCTGGTCAGTGCCGTCATTATTTCAGTGCCACCTCTAGGTCGAGAAATGAGCGCGTGGACATTCATCAGGGAAAGGCAGCTGAGCGGGGCCGAAGCTCAGAGCAACTGCCTGGGTACTCGCATCTGTGAAGAGACAGGTGACGTGTTTACTTATTATTTAGGTGAACTTGTAACAGGTGCTTTTGCCCTTGTACTTGGAATCATGAATGAATAATCAGCCTGTTGAATAACTATGAATATTAATGACGACAGCCACACTAATGACTAATGACTAAGGATTTTCAACTTTCTGGGGTTTCATAGGAAGATATGCAGTGTGCTCCAGATGTAGTTTTTCCATGGAATTTGAGGCTCTTTTCTCTCTCTCTCTCTCTCCTTCACCTCCTCACCCATGCTGGCTTGAATGCAAGGCCTAGGCCCTGCCCCTTACCTTTTTTTTTCTCAAGGTTGGTACTTTGCCACTTGAGCCACACCTCCATTGCAGTCTTTTTTGCTGGTTAATTGGAAATAAGGGTCTTGTGGACTTTCCTGCTCAGGCTGGCTTTTAACTGAGATCTTTAGATCTCTGCCTCCTGAGTAGCTAGGATTGTAGGTGTGAGCCACCAGCGCCACTAACACCCAAAGGGTTCTGGGAGGTGTCGCAGCCATTGTTGCACTGAGCATCAGGGACCCTGAAACAGCCCCTGTGCTTTCCTGGCTTCTCTCTCAACCCTTCAAGGCAGGCAAAGAGTGAGGACTGGTGAACATCCTGTGACCCTCAGTACAGTGAGGAGAGGAACAGGTCCCATCTCACAGTGCTGTCCTGAGGGTTAGATCTTGCAAGGAAGACAGCCTGGGCATACCGGCCAGGTTCGTACACACCGGCCATTCATACCATCAACACTGTCGACAGGTTGATCACCCGTGGCCCATCAGGATGGACTGGCCTAACCACCTCTGTGTTTTTCCTGTCTCTTTCTCCCCCTTAGGACGGGTCACTGGGGAACATCGATGACCTGGCTCAGCAGTATGCGGATTATTACAACACCTGCTTCTCTGACGTGTGTGAGAGGATGGAGGAGCTGCGGAAGCGGCGTGTGTCGCAGGACCTGGATGTGGTGAGTGGGCAGGGCCCATAAGAGTCTCAGGACTGCTGCTGGCCTGGTGGTCCTCCACAAACTCCCAGTCCAGCCACGCCCTGGTCCTTCTGCCCCCCCCCCCCCCCCCCCCCCCAGCCACGCCTGAGCACTGGACTGCAGGCTGCCATGCTCTAGCTGTCCAAAAAACAAAGACAAAAATCAGGTCCTCAAAAGGAGCAGCCCTTTTGTCTGCAGCTATCAAACTGAATGAGTGTTAGATGGGACAATCTGCCCAAATCTCTGCTGACATTAAAAAGCTACATTTTTAAGCCAGGCACTGGGGATTCATGACTGTAATCATAGATACTCAGGAGGCTGAGACTGAAAGATTAAAGTTCAAAGCCAGCCCAGACAGAAAACACCGAGAGAACTCTTATCTCCAGTTAACCAGCAAAAAGCTGGAAGTCATGCTGTGGCTCAAGTGGTGAAATGCCAGCTTTGAGCATAATAACACACACTAGAGATCCTGACTGAATTCAGGCTCAGAATTGGGCCTGAAGCTACATTTATTATACATTTTTTAACCTTAAGAGGAAAGAATGTTTTTGCTGTTGAGTATACCACATGGGCTCAAAACCCAAAGGCAAATTCTTTTTGCCCTTTTCCACCGCGTTTCTTCTTCTGTTTTTGAAAAAACAAAATAAAGAAGCAGAAAAGCACCCATAACCTCTGACGTGACAAAATGCACATGAGCTTTAGGGCTTCTGTGCGTCTTCAAGCTGCCTTGCCTCTTCCCGCAGTTACAAAGTCACGTGATGCGTTGACCGCTTTATTTCAGTACTTCCCTGTCATCGAGATCACATTGCCTCACCCTCTTCTTCTCTCTTACTTGGGGACATTGACATTCATTTGGCTGCTTGGTGAACACATGTATGTTTGTGAGTAGTGGCGCCTTTGAACTTGTGTGTGATAAATAGCAAATAAAATAGCGTAGATCACTATCACTATGCATTGGCAGTTTCTCATGGACATTTGCTGTAAAACCCCTGACTTGCACCTCACAATTCTCAGTTTAAACTTGCTATGCATTAGATTCATTTTAGTTCCATCCTTCCCACTTGCTGCCATCGCATGTTCCAGCCAGAAGAATTCCTCCACAGGGGGAGAGCAGAAGAGTAAGCGCCCCCCCGCCCCGCCAAGGGCCTCATCTCAACAGCTCCTTTGTACCCTATCATTTATTGGGGGGCTATCCAGACTTGTTTGTGAATAATGGCATCTACTGGCCGTCACATTTTTATGTTATTACTATTGTTTTTGAGGCAGAGTCTCACTATGTAGCTAGGCTGGCCTTGAAAGATCCTCCTTCTTCAACCGCACAAGTCCTGGGATTACAGGTGTGCACTACAATGCCCAGACTTATTTGCCTGTTTTGGAATTTTTCTATAAATTGACTTGAGTTGGGAACAGAAGAAAACAAGAATTCAGCAACTATTTTTAAATTAAGAATAGGTAACTCGGGCTGGGAAGGTGGCTCAGTGGTAGAGCGCTTGTCTTGCACGCATGAGACCTTGGGTTCGATTCCTCAGCACCACATAAGCAAAAAAGAAAAAAGCCAGAAGTGGCGCTGTGGCTCAAGTGGTAGAGTGCTAGCCTTGAGCTGAAGAGCTGAGGGACAGCACCCAGGCCCAGAGTTCAGGCCCCATGACCAGACCCAAAAACAAAAACAAAAACAAAAAGAATAGGTAACTCATTAATAATTTTTCACGTTGTATAAAGGGCTTCCTTATCTAGAAGCTACCCAAAACAAAAAGTTGGATAGGATATATTTTATATGTGTATGTATACAGAAACTTTATCTATATTCATATACATTCACATATACTATATTCTATATAAATATATGCGTACTATATATACATATACATACATGTGTATATTCACATATTTATTATATATTGTATATATGTAAATATTAGATATAAGAATATATGAGCATATATTCACTCATATATGAATATATAGTCCTTAATATATCTCTATGTCTCTATATATCTCTATATATTTCTAGCTAGCTAGTTATACAGATAGCTAGATACATAAATATACCTATATATCTATGTGTATGTATACATATACAAATATATGCATATCTATAAATACACATACATATATTTGGTGTGTATATGTCTATGTATACATATATCTATCTGTTTATCTATATTCTTAAGTGAGCATCATTTATTTCTTACCCAAGGATGCACATAGAGTTCTCAAAGTGAAGTGAACATGGTTTCTTCCCACCCAAGGCTGCATGCAGAATTCTTGAGCACTCGATGGCCATCCCTGTCTCAGGCCTGTAATCTTCGCTACTCAGAAGGCTGAGATCTGAGAATCACAGGTAGAAGCCAGTCCAGGTGAGGAAAGTCCCCTTGAGAGTCTTATCTCCAATTAACCACTCAAAAACCAGAAGCAGAGCTGTGGCTCAAAGTGGTAGAGTGCTAGCCTTGAGCAAAAGAGTTCAGGGACAGCACCCAGGCCCTGAGTTCAAGCCCTACAACCCACCAAAGGAAAAAAAAAAAAAAAGAATTCTTGAGCATGTTATTTCCTTCCTTAAAGTCAGCCTAAGTAAAAAAAATCTTTGGGTCATGAGCAACATCACATCATGACTGCCCAGTTAGTTCAGTGATCTAATAGTGCAGGGCTGACATTAGCTTAATCGAGGAGTGTCGTTGCAGGCAGAGAGTCCTTGGTCCAGGAGCCTGACACCTTGGCCCATGCAGGCATGTGGGCTTTATCATTGCCAAAGGACTTAGTCTCCTGTGACTCCGCCTATGTGAATGCAGTTATTTCTCTCTGAGAAGGTATATAATTAGGCATACCTGTTAGGGCATAGCTGATGAAAATAAACCTTTCAGTAATAATGCTATACAATAGCAACTTGAATATTGCACTTGATTTTTAATTTATATTTCTTTTTACAGTACTGGGGATCTAACCTAAAGCCTCAGTGCCTGCTAAGTAAGCTCTCTTCCCCTGAATGCATACTCACCCCCCGTGCTGACCTGGAGTGGCAGCTCCATGTGAACTGTATGGTCTCCCTGGACGCTTTTCACTTTATGAGAAAACGAGGGCTGAGAATTGGCCGATGATTGCTGATAACACTAGCTGGCCTATGATTTGGGGTTCCCATAGTCACCTCATAGTATTCAGGAATCTTAAGAGGCAGCTCCTGGGTTGGAAAGGAAGATTGCCTGTTGGAGGATTGAGAGCCTCCTTGCCATTTAGACAGATGGGTGTGCTCTGTTCCAGACCAGCAAAAGACAGTCGGGGGAGAGAACACACACACACACACACACACACACACACACACACACACACACACACACACACACACACACACACACACACACACACACACACACCACGAAAGCCAATTCACTGCATGAGCTTAATTAGTTCCCATCAAAGGTGTAAGAACTCGGTGGTGGGTAAAATTGATGGGAGCCATTTCCAACCAGGCTGGGAAGCCTGACTGTTCATTCTTTAAATTGTAGCTAGTTAGAGAAGTAACAACCCAGACTGATGCATTCAGATCATCCTTCTATGGAACTTGGGGCAAGTTATAGCAGTAGGGAAGGATTTTGGAACTGCTAGAGCTCAGGCTAGATGTTAGGCTCAAGAGTCTTTAAAGGATGTTAGATGGGTTTAAGGTGATGTATCTTTTAGGCCATGCTAGCATCTTACCGAAAGTTCCCTTTCTCTTTTAGTAGGTGGTTCATCATGGATGGAATTCCTGACAACAACCATTTTTGCAAAGCTATAACTTTTTCTGTGTGTGCCAGTAGTTGGGTTTGAATTCAGAGCCTGGGCCTGTCCTTTGACTTTGTCCCTCAAGGCTGGCACTATAACATTTGAGCCACAGCTCTACTTCTGGCTTTTGGTGGCTAAATGGAAATAAGATTCTCTTGAGACTTTACTGCCTAGACTGGCTTTGAACTGTGTTCCTCAGATCTCAGCCTCCTGAGTAGTTAGGATTACAGATACGAGCCATGCCTGGCTAATACTGTAACTTTTAGTACATAAAAACAAAAAAAAACTTTTACTCCCTGTCATTGCATCTAAATTTTAGGTGTATTTCTAGACTTTAAGCTCTCCCTTTAGACAAGTGGACAAACAGTGTGCATGCTTGCCTGCTGGAACAGACTCGATCTGGGGAGCTGAAACACAGTACTTCTTTCTGTGTTTCTAAGCAGCCCAGGGGAAGTGGAATGTAAGGCTTCCAGGAGCAATCCAGACAAATCAGTAAGAGGCATCCTACTCTGTTGGGAGACGGAGATGATCGGGAGGGAGCATAGTAGCATGATGAGTTTTACATGATTAAAATGATGTTTAGAAGTCCTGGCTACTCAGGAGAGGAGACTGAGATCTGAGGATCATGGTTTGACAAGCCCGTTGGACTCTTGATCTCTAATAAACCAGTAAAAAGCCAGCAATGGAGGGAGAGTACAAACCATAGCATCAGATATGAGCAAACAAAGCTAAGCAAAGAGCCAGAAGCCCTGAGTCCAAGCCCTAGTATCTGCACCAAAACAAACCCCAGTAGAATATAGAGTGCTAAGTTGAACTATGTTGAATTGGCTTAAGGCTTTGCTTCATTCTAACTATTTTGGGTGAATTTTGGTGATTGAGGGTATAGTCTAAAGCTAAAATAGATAGGTAATTATTTGTCTTTTGCTAAGGCAAAAGGAAGTTTAAAAAAATACATTGTCCTTAAAAGCTAATTGCATATCAACTTTTGAACAAACAAGCTGAGAAGACACCTTGCCCACTGAGATGCTTGACTTAAATCTGAAAAATAAAAGGTTTTGGTAATTGTGTGAGTAATTAATTTCTGGACTCGATGTCAAGCTGTTTCTGGAATACCTAGTCACCAGGATCCTGCCTGGATTTAGTTCTTTCTAATGTGTCCTTGGAGTTATTTTTGATAATGGCAACAGTGTAGAGCTGGGTTAAAATTCACCAGTACAGCCAGTCTCTAG